CCGGGCAGCAGGCCCAAAGTTTTCACGTGTGAAGTTTGCGGAAAGGCAAGTAGGGCCGCTGCCCGGCCCCCCGCGGCTCCCCCAGCCCCGTCCGTCCGTCTGTCCGCCCGCTCGCTCGCTTTATGCTTGAACGACGGCTTCTCCTCGGCGCTCTCGCCTGCTAATCGCAATTGTTGTTATTATTTTCTCTTTTGTCTGATTTCGCTCTCAAGGTATTTAATGCACATTACAACTTAACTCGCCACATGCCGGTGCACACGGGAGCCAGACCCTTTGTCTGCAAAGTTTGCGGGAAGGGCTTCAGACAGGCGAGCACGCTGTGCCGACACAAGATCATCCACACCCAGGTGAGCCTCCATCCCTCCTTCCCTCCCTCCCCCCCGCAAACCGGCCCACAGACCCCGCAGACAAACCCACAAACCCCGCAAGCCGGTCCACAGACCCCGCAAAAAAACCACAAACCCCGCAAAAAAACACCGAAACCCCGCAAAGCAGTGCATAGACTCCGCAAACCAACCCACAAACCCTGCAAACAGACAAACCCTGCAAACAGACAAACCCTGGAAAGCGGTGCACAAACCCTGCAGCCCAGCCCACAAACCCCGCAAACCGGTGCATAGAGCCCGCAAGCCATCCCGCAAGCCCCGCATACAAACCCGCCAACCCTACAAACCGGCACACAGACCCCGCAAGTCGCGACTCGGCCGTCGGTTTCCCTCCAGGAGAAGCCACACAAGTGCAACCAGTGCGGCAAAGCCTTTAACCGGAGCTCGACCCTGAACACGCACACGCGGATACACGCCGGCTACAAACCCTTCGTCTGCGAGTTCTGCGGCAAAGGGTTTCACCAGAAAGGTACCGGTCTCCCTTGCCGGGGCCCCCCACCCTCCCCCCAGGCGAGGTCAAGCGTCGGGACAATTTGCGACGGGGTGGAGGGGGAGAGCTGATTTTGGTTTTAATTTGTGATTAGACATTGGGGTTAATTTGGAGCGCCGCCGGCCCGACCCGCGGCTCCCGCTCCCCGCGCACCCCCCG